GCGCGCGCGCATGCAGTTTATCCAGTGGAACATCCATCGCTGTGGGGTTAAGCAGTCGGAGCAGATTTTACCTCAGGACGCCACCGGGCCCTTCGTCCTGTCGGGGTACAGCGGCTACAAACAAGTAAGCAGACCTTCTGGTTAATTTTCAAGACAGCACTTCATTTGATTTCATGACCAAAGCTCGCTAGAAAACATTGAATTCTACAAAGTAAATTAAACTCTGTTCATAAGAAAACATTTTTTATAGTTCAAAGAAGTAAAATCACCAAAGTAAACAATTTGGGGTGCTTTTTTCTACTTGGTGATATAATTCTTGTTCAGGTTCAAGTCCCTCGAGGTCGACTCTTCACGTTTGACTCTGAAGGTCAACACGTCCTGACCTGTTCTAGCTCCGGTGGACTCATATACAGAGTGAGTACACCTTCATGTCTGTCTGTAATTAAGTAAGCAAGCATTCTTTAATGCTTTAAATGTGTTTTGTATTTTAAAAAATTTCCTGGTCCCCTCTCTTCCAGCTGGCCAGTGGGGAGTCAGCTCTGGAGAGGGTGCTGTCACTGGGGGGGCATAAAGCACCAGTGGTGACCGTCGACTGGTGCTCAGCAGTGGACTGCGGCACCTGCCTGACAGCCTCCATGGACGGGAAAATCAAACTGAGCACGCTTCTAGCACAGAAGTCCTGACTGGGGACCTAACGGAGGCCCTCTGTTCTTGTGTGTCTGTGCAGTTTCAGAGATGAAAGGAAGACTCGAGGAATGTTTCATGATACAAAAAAACCTGTTTTTAAATCAAATTAGGATTAAAATCTCACTGAAGGTTCCACCGTAGAGCTCGTTTCTTTTGTTAAAGCTGTATTTGTTGGTGTTTTCAGGCCTTTGGGGAGAAGAAAAACTCCTCAGCAGTCTCACAGACACTCAGCAGCATTTGAAGTGTTTGAGTCAACAGCACCTCGACCTCTTTCAGGTACTTGAAGTCGTTTCATGGAGAATTGAATACACCTTTCTAAAATGTCTTCAAGAACCTAAACAAGAAGTCCAGTTGCTTTCATCTCAAGACCTTTAGACTGCAATGATCTGGATGAGTGAGAGACGTCACTTGGATTGATTGGAATAAGAAACGTCCAAGTTTTTCTTATACGAGCCAAAATGTTACAAGTAAATATTTGGAGGATCACTCTGGGTTTTTATTCCCTTAACCTAAACCAAATAAATAAAATAATAATAGAATAAAATAAAAAAGGTAATAAAGTAAAAGAAAAAGACCTATCACAAGAGAAACTGTACACTGAATTTGTTTTATCCTGTATTATGTTTGATTTCATTCTTACAGATGTGTAGTGTAAATAACAGAATCATAACAGTTTTGTACTTTTCTTTTCTTTTTGTTTCCAATCAGTAAATTTTCACTTTAGCTTTTTTATTTTGTTTGTTTTGGGCTTTTTTTTAGTTTCAGTGTTGTTTTTATAAAGAGGGCAAAGGCATGTGAACTAGCTACATGTACCAAAAACACCACTTTAAAAAGGTGGTGTCTGAATGACTCACAGTGACATCCGAAACGCTCCCAGCCTTCCAAATGTTTGTGTTTACAAATGTGACCTATATGACTGAAGCCTAATTAATCTCTTATTCAGTTTAGATGTAATGAAATGTGACATTTACAGTTGTGGTCATAGGTTTCCACACAGTCATCATGGGAATGAAAGTCATGGTAATTTTGGGCTTTTAATTAATTCTTTTTCTAGGGTGGAATGATTATACAGCATATATCTTTAATGACTTTAAAAAACTCATAGGTGTGAATGAGGGAGTGAAACAAATGGATGGATGGATTTTAAAAAACAAGAACTGGGTGCACACATTTGAACTTATTTTGGGTTTTCTCTGATCCCAACAGGGTCAAAAGTAAACATACAGACTCAAATATTTACATACACCCCTACTAATATTTGGTAAAATGTGCTTTAGACTAGAAGGTGGCTTACAACTAACGTGAGGAGTGTATTTAAACACCTGACCACACCTATAAATAAAATTAACATTGATGTTAGCCACAGTCACTTCCTGTAGATTTAGATTTTATTTATTTTCATAGATTCATATTATTATTTTATTAGTATACAATTTTCTTTCCCCAGACTATTTTTTTTATTTAGTGGAAAGTGTTAGGAGTGCTAGGATAATTTCTGCTCAGTTTGCAGGTGTAGCGCCTGCTCTTCGCCATAGGGGGCGGTGTGTACGAATGCGTGCTGTAGTTATTTTTAGAGAAGAAGCAGAAGCCACAACAATAACACACAGGCATTTTCAGGGACTGAAAATCCTTTAAATGTGACCTTTTCAGCGCGGATTTTCTCAGTGTAACGTTTGCAAACGGTCCGTTTATGTGAAAAGACTCCAAAATAATTCCGCACGAAGGTGAATTCAGGCGCCATGTTGCGTGTTTCAGCGAATAAATAGCATGTCGTTAATGCGAGGCTAGCTGCGCCGTTAGCCTGCGTGCACCGAGCCCGGTTCTGCTGTCGCTTTTCCGTTTCATGTCACTACTGTCCGGTACCGCGTGCAGACATGGAGAGTTTGTACAAGCGGAAAATGTTCGCGTCCATGCGGAAAACCAAAGTAGCCGCATCGAAGAAGCGGCAGATCGGTCTGCCCGCCTCCATCCTGGACGACAGTGACGAAGGGTCCTTCTCGTCGTCGTCCTCCTCCGGATCACAGTCCGACTTCCAGAGCTCTCCTGAGGACGACAGCGAGCAGGAGGACCGGGACCGGAGCGAGTCCGGGGGGACCTCCAGCGACGACAGCCGCTCTGTCACCCGCAGGAAGCGCTCCTTCCTGAGAGGCGACGACAGCTCTTCGTCGTCCAGCCGCGGCGACGAGGATGAAGAGGACGACGATGACGATGAGGAAGATGACGACGGAAGTCACACGAAGAGGATGGTCCAGCCGAGGAAGAGGAGCCGGCTGCAGCGGCAGGACGAGTCGGACTCGGACCGCGCGGAGGAGAAGCGGAAAGAGGACGCGGAGAAGGCGAAGAGGAGGCAGAGACACAACAAGCTGTTGGCGCTGTCCCGGAGGATGAAGGCCCGCATCCCGAGCCGGAGGAGGAGCCGCGTGAAGCAGGTACACCTGAGCGCCTGCGTCATACACAGGAGCGCAGGTACTTCTGTAGAAACACGGAAAGACAAGCAAAAAACAAACAGGGCTACCTCTGGGTAAAAGCGCAGGTATATGAGACAAAGTTGAAAGAATTCATGTAAGAGCGGTGTTGTGCCAAAACGTGACCGCCTGCCAAAACCTAATTTCCAATGTTTCCGTGTGTTTTTTATGTGCAACATCTTTACGTATGTTGGTAAATTGACTTCGGTGAACAAGGTTTACAAAGGGGTTATATATAAAATTTTAAAATTACATTTTTTTAAGTATCTTTATAAATCTGTGTTATTGTACTTACATTATAACCAATCCGGTCCTTTTTGTCCACTTAAAATATGTTTACAGATCTATTATTATATTTGTTGCAATATCTGGTCTCCTCTTGGACAGATTACTCTTACAAAAGACATTTTTAATGTCAACGAGATTTTTTTTTTAACTGGATAAATAAAGAATATATAAAAGTCACTGCCAAAAACTGATTGTAGCTTCTGCCTTGTTACAGGAATGTTGTTAGTGGCTCAGGATGACTTGATATCATTCATTGTGGGATTCATTTGACATATATTTAACATATTATAGACCAGCAAGTTATTTATACGAGCAATCACTTTTTTGGCAAATACCGGAAAAAAATAATTTTTTTTGCAGACGATCATTTTTTGGCACAAATGTATTCACATCAAAGAAAAATGTGCTTTCAAAACGTGAACATACCCAATAAACCTTTATACCTCTGTGTGATGAGTAAAATGGGTTTTATTTAAATTGTTTAAGGGCACAGGAGACAAGGAAGAGTCTAAAAAAGCAGAGGATGAGGCAGATGGTGATGGAGATGGAGGAGGTGAAGAAGAAGAGGACGGAAAGAAAGAAGTGTCACAGGGAGACAAAGGAGGAAAAGAGAAAGAGGAGGAGGAGGAAGAAGAAGAAGAAGAGGAGGAGGAGGAGGAGAAGTAAGCCTGAGAGAAATAATAGCATTTAAAAATGATGCAAAAGTGTTTATCTGTACAGGACTCATGGTTATGTTGTTGCTGTGACAACGAACACTTGTAACAAGCAACAAAAAGAAGAAAAGAGGAGGTGGACAGCGTCTCTGACCCCAGTGTGAGGTACTTTTTTGCTTTAGATTGAAAATATAAACATTTGCTGATCTGCTGAGCGCTCAGTTTTATTTACATGCTGCAGATGTTTCCATGTTAATCCGCCAACAGCTGGAGGCTCCAAGCACTGCTGACCTGTATGACGTCACAAGCAAAACCATATAATGGTTAAGTTGGATTCAACCAGGTGGCCTGCACTATCAGCGTGACTTACGATTAGAGCAACATCTTTATTATAATTTATTAGCTTTTTTTTGGTTCATTGTTGTAACACTAAAAGGTTTTATCTGGGAGTGGTAGTCACAGCCTTCCTGCAGCTGTCCATCTGAAACTCACAGCCCACCAGTGAAAGGCGCAAAAACAAGTCGCCAGCATTGAATTGTCTGTGGAAAAGTTTCTTTTGGTTGTATTCGGGCCATTGAAAGAAAAAAAATGAAAGGGCCTAGTTACGTGATGTAAAATTCAGGAAAAAAACAAACAAATTTACAATAAAAACAGCAATAACACATAAGAAGTGTTAATAGAAAACCGCACTTATTTGCAATCAGACAACAAATTACAAGCTTATTTTCACTGAAATGAGTCCTGGAGTAATACACAGGCCACTACATGCAGCTGGCTGTGAGGTGTGTGTAACACGTGATTAAAATAAAAACCAAAAACGTACATATTCAATATACACTTTGCTCGCATGAAATTAGCTTTCTTATAAGATGTTTTTTTTTGTTTTGTTTTTGTGGTTTTTTTTCCTTTTGAACTAAAAAAAAATCAGCTTTTTTCTGGCCCACGTTTGGCCCTCTTGTCGCTCAGTTCTGGAATTTGGCAATCACCAGATGTGGCCCAGAAGTCATAAACACAGCTGGCAGCTGGCACAGGTGGACCTCGGCAGCCACTGAGTCACAGGCACACATCTGGGTTATATTTTGCATATTTGAACCAGCAGATGTTTTGCTACTTTAGCCTTAAAAAATACAGAAATGTGCTCATATCCTGTTGTTTTAGTCAGAGCTCTGCTTGCAAGTCCAACAAAAAGCCAGTAAGCGGTTCTCGAGTTCAGCTAGATGAAATTTGTGGCAGCAGATCAGCTGGTGCAGCTAAAACCAGAGCGAAAGCTTTCCTGGATGTGGAGCACAGAAGCTGCTTTCTTTCCTGCAAAAGGGAAGAGCTGCTTAGTGGGCGGGGCTTCCACATCACATCACTGAGTGTAATCGTTGCATTATGACTGCGTGTGATCTTTAAGACAGAAGTCGACTGCATCTTCCAGAAGGCACTGCTGTGAGTCTTTATTGAATTCTTGATGGCAGTGTTGTGAATATGCAAAAAACTCTGATTTCACGACCCCGGAGGATTCTGGGTATTGCAGTATTTAGAGACATTCAGTAACCGACAGCACTCTGACTCGTTTCTGTTGCACTTTCCTTCTTTTTCTTTCATTTTTTTTTCCTGAAGTTGAGTTTGATTGTTTGCCAATCTTTTCTAAGTAAGTGTGAAGGCCTCGCAGACAGATTTATTTATTTATTTTTCTTGTACAGCAGCTTTTTCATCTGTTGCTTTATCTTTGAAAAAATATTTACATATTTTGATAGTTTTGTCCATCTGCTATCTCCAGCCGTCTCTGTTTCTGTTATTACATTGTCAGCTAAATACCTTTGAATGTTGAACCACACAAGATTTTTGAAGACTTCCTGCAAGTTCACTTTGCTGACATAATAATATCGTTATACTTACTTCCTGGTACACTTGCAGTATAGTGGTTGCCCATAATAAATCACAGATAAAACCAAATTATTTGTCAGTAACTGCATAGGTTCTCAGTTGTGCAGGTCATGGTAGTCTTGAGTGCTTAAAAATAAAGTAGTTGACAGTAGGGCTGCACGATTTTGCATAAAATGAGAATCACGATTCTCTCACGATTTTCTTTTCCAGTATAAATATTTATTGCACTTATTAGCTGCACATCAACTTCGTAACAGTTGAGACTGAACATAAAAACAATAAATAAACATAAAAACAACAAATGTCTCACGTTTTGTTGTTGCCACAAAATGTTGTACTGCTTGAAATTCCGTCTCCACCGTTGCTCGACACTGCGTGTATAGAGCAGGTAGTGCAACAATAGAAAAATAGTTGCGGGACGGCACTGTGTAGCGTTTGTCTAGGGTGTTGATCATTTCCCTAAATCCCTCGTTTTGCACAGTGTTGATGGAGCCATATCTTTGGTCATGTGATAAGTGATAGCCTCCGTAATTTCTTTGAGTTCGACGTTCATAGGGAAGCGCTGTATAAGGTTCCCGTTATTGATGTTTGGGTGGTTGACCGGGACGGATTTTCTCCTGTCACTTTCTCGTCATCCCTGACGTGCTCTCCGTTGTTGTTTCCCTGCTAATTTTAGCATCACACGGCACAGCTTCTGTATCACGTGGTATAAGGCTCCGCCCTTGTCATTTGTTGAGCAGGAAGAGTGAGCGCTTGTTTTCATGCAGATTACGTGGCGGATCAAAATGCGGTACAATCGTCGTTGTCGTCTTTTTTTCTTTCTTTTTTTTTAATCGTTGTCATTTGGAAATGAGATTGCACATAAGTATGAATCGAGATCGCGATTTTCTAACGATTAATCGTGCAGCCCTAGTTGACAGTACTTGTCTTAGACAGGTGCCACCTTTTGGACTCAGTGACGGTAATGACACATGCCATTTCTCATAATTTGAACTGGAAAAGCCTCCTGGATGAAAAATGAAATGGCTAAAGAAACCTAAAGAAGTCCTGTTGCCCTTTTTTAACCACTCAAATCTGCTTTAAAAAAAAGCTCCAGTTAGCCAAGGTGATGGTTGTGCATTTGCTATGAAGGTTGAAAAACTCGACAGATACTGAAACAGTTTTCTTGTATCAGACTCCAAAACATGTTTATTTCTGCTGTAAAATTGGGCATTTAACATGAGAGATGGGGGAGATTAACTTGGTTTTGAAGCCTCAAGTGGACATTAGAGGAACTGCAATTTTGGCATTTGAGCACTCGCTTCCTGGAGTTACCAGGGGGTCATCACTTGGTATGTCATCATGAATGTTTAAGTTGGCACTCTGTTGTTGTTGTTAGATTACCAGTGTTTAAAAGGCCCAAATATATGAGCTCGTTGTGATGTAAGAAGTCAATGAGGTTGTTCTTATGCTACTTTCTGGTACATCTGGAATTCTTTGATAAATCTCACATACATCTTCTGATGATCGATTGGGCTTATCATCATGTTTGTGTGCTAAACTGCCAATTATCAGTTTGGCAGAACTTACTGCATTTAAATCAGAAGTATTATGCGATATTCAGTGGCAGCTGTTTAAACCCAAACAACTTTCAAATGACCAAGACTGGTTGTGATGACATGTTACCTGTACCTCTCAGTGGTCACTTGTTGCTGTGTATTTACTATTTTAAGACTGGTACACTCAACTTTATGGTAGCTTTTTGCCATACAATTCAACACTAAGTAATTAGTAACATGTGCTTAGTCATAGTCATCAAACAGGCTTTTGGCGTCACCTTATGATGGTAGGGGTGCATTATAAAAGTTGTGTAAAATACTTTTTTTTTTTTTTCCTTCCTTTTCTTACAATTTCTCTTAGAGCTGACAGTTGAAAAGTCATGACCTTTAATTTTTAGTGTCCTTGTTTAAAATAGGCTTTTTTGGGCTTTTTGACAGATAGCACATGGTGCTTGTCCAGGATTTTAACCTGTAGTCCAACAGCTACTGGATCACTCCGGTGACCTGTTGATATGTTTGTGCATTGTTTAAAGAAACGTGACGACTGTGGCAGTGAATTTCATACAACTGACAGGAAGTATGGACAGAACTATCAAAATAAGATTCTAACTGTGTAAAATAAAGTAAAACTTCTTTGATTTTTGACTATGTTTGATCTGAAATTATGGACATTTCTCCATCACTAAATTTTGTTTGCAAAAATCAAATGATCCCACCTGGTTCATTTTTTTTGGTTGGGGGTTCCTGTACATAGAAATGTGGGTGAATTATCCCAAAACTATTTTGTATTTTTCTATTTATTTCTTCCTTTGTAAAGTCTTCTAAAGGCCACAGGCATGTGCTAAAACAAAAATGGACAAATGATGAGAAATTTCTCTTTCCATCCTTCTTCTTAAATCCTTGCTTCTCCTGTTTGTAAAGGTGCATTCATGTGCAATCGTAATAATAGGAAAAAACACATGATGTGTCTGAACCTCAGCAGCCTCCGTCAAAGTTGGTGAGAAACTCTGAATGTTTTTAAGTTGAGTTTCCAGCTGCTAAAGTTGAACCCACAGACTGTTTGAGAGCCTTGTGACTCTTGTTTCTTTTGAGATAAGGACTCAGTATGGTATACAGTGTAGTGATAATACACACACATTATAGGTACTTATCAGTGCTGTGTATTTACCTGTTTCCAGTGTATTCCTGGTCTTTTGTTGCTGTATAAAGCTCTTTAGACCAACTCACGGTGTTGAAAATACCTGTTTTAATAATAAAGTTTCTTCTTTTTTGACCAAGAGATTATGTGTTGAAAGTCTTTATTTATCTAACACATAATGCATGAATCTACAGGTCTGTGCTATGAAATAAAACATTACGTCTTATGGTAATTTCTGCAATAATAAATAAAAGAGGACAAATGCACTATCCTATATTTGTGAAATTCTTTTGTTACAGCAGTTAAAATAATAATGAAAAATTATAATACAAAATTGATATTTAATTTGGTAAAATGTACTTAAATTGTGTTTTTCTAATATTTTATAGTCCTTCACATTTATTCTATACTGAACAGAAAATAATTGAAATTAGCACTTTGTGTCAGCTTCTTTTATTTCAAAATGTGTTAGTGAAATAAAAAGACTTGATTTGATTTTAATTTTAAATGTAGTATTTAAATTAAGGCTCATAAAAAATAGATAAATTATATTTACATCTATCTATCTACCTACCTACCTATCTAGTTAATTTTTTAGGGTATGAGTCCTTTTCTGCCACTTTTCAGTTTGGGGGTCCCACAGGGCTCAGTTTTAGGGCCTTTGCTTTTTGCATTATACTTGCAGCCCTTGGGTACCATCCTTAGAAGGCATGGAATAGCCTTCCACTGCTATGCTGATGACTGCCAGATTTATTTGCCTCTGGAACAGAAAGATGCCTCCTCCATTCAACCACTTTTGACATGTCTAGATGATATTAAAACTTGGATAGCCCAAAATTTTC